GTAATCATAGTGACAACATCAGCTCCTTTGTCGAACAAAGTGAATGATCGAGGATGCACTCTCTCTGATTGAAACCTAAACTGTCGGCAGTTGATTTCAACCGTTGAAATTTGTTTTTGCAAAATATATTTATATAAAGATATACATATATATTATGGTTTCAAAATGTTTGCAAAAGGTTTTATTTCCAGGGATCCATGTGAGTAGAGAGTGCAGTACTGTACCTTGCAGCCGAGGGAGAGGTCCTCTCTTGTCGGGTAGTGTTTGATCATTAAGGACTGAGAGGTTAAGTGTAAGACCATTGAGGGTAATACCTGATGGGCTAATCTTGCATCTGCCCACAGTCCTTGGGATTTCATAAGGTCGCTGGACCCAAGGACTATTTAGTGTAGATGTTGGGCCAATTAAGAGCACATGGTGATGGACTCAGGGGTTCACCGTCTCCTACAGTGAATTCGGTCAAGCCTTGTAACAAAGGTTGGGCTGAACCTATGTGGCCGATGTGTAGATCAATGTTAGGGTCCCACGCCATACAAGGATAGCCAACTGGGCAGTAGGTTAAGTGGTTAAGTGAGCACATAAACTTAATGGGCCTAAAGCCCATTCGAACTGGCTTAAATAAGATTAATTAAATAAGGGGTGGTTCTAGGGATAAGGGATTATCCTTATCCACTCAAAGAGTCCAAATCCAAATAAAGATTTGGATCAGGAAACTCCTAATTAGATTAGGAAGGTTGATCTTTATCTGCAGATAAGATAAGGGATTATCCTTATTTCTTAAAGAGAGTCCAGATCCAAATATAAGATTTGGATTAGGAAACACCTAATGGAATTAGGAGAACCTCCCTTTAAGGCTATAAATAGGAGAGCAGAGCGAACCTCCAAACACACTCACAGTCTGCTGAATTAAGAGAGAAGACAACATAGTTTGACTGCTCCTGTCTTCTGCTCTTTTCTTCATGTTCTTGCTGCCCCTACCTAGTTCGATCTCCACCAGTGGGAGTGATCAAGAACCGTTCTTGATATTGCTTCTTGCTAGAAGAGGCAATCTGAAGTTGTGCTCACCAGCCCTTTACTACATTCTTGCTGAAGAATTCAGCTCTTGCTGAAGAGTCGACCTGCTGATTCTGCTTCACATCACACTGTGTCATTTTCAGTGGGAGCAGATTTTGGTTTTCTCCTTGGGCGTGAATACTTTCGTTGGGAGTTATTATTACTCCGTATCAAGTATTATCCCTCTCCTCCCTTTTGTTTCAGATCTGGTCTGGTTTATTTCAAGATTGATCCTTGAAAATGTAGTTTTCTAAAATAGAGAATGCGATTCCCAGATGGGAGAGA